TAGCCACCATCCCCAAAAAGAAGAGCACGTAGAATAGCAAAGCGAGATTACTGGATTTAGTGAAAGGATTTAGAGAAGAAGATATGAGCACCTGGAGATCTTTGATCGGTACTTACAAACCCTCCTCTTCGGTCGCCCACAAACCCTAGAGATGAAAGCAACAAGTCCCAACGGATACGGCAGCGAGATTGGCGTGTCAAGGGCACCCGATCATATATATATATATATATACATATACATATACATATATATATATACATATACATATACATATATATATATATATATGTATATATACTTATGTATATATATATATGTGTATATATACATATGTATATATACACATATTTATATTTATATATATATGTATATATGTATATGTATAAACACACGATTAAGACGAGTCGGGCAAAATATCTACCGCTCAGCACTGTCTTGTCCGATTTGGATCCTAGGGTTCTGTTTTTATCATTTAAAATGACAAAAATGCCCTTAATTTTTGGGCACATCATCGATGTTTATACTTTTATTATTTTTCTATATTAATGTATTATTATATATTACCTGATAATAATTATTATATATATATATATATATATATATATATATATATAATGAGGGAAGAAGTTGTTGACGTCTTAATCAGCCTTATATGGTCTGAACCCATATACACAAAATTATCCAAGGTGCATCAAGGTAGAAACATCGAACTCCCGATGTGTCGCCTGCATGAATATTGAGATCAAAAGTGGTTTCCCAATCCGATCCCTTCGACCCCCAAGTTAATAACCCAAGGTGTATGAGCGCAGACATAAGTAATAAAAAAAAAAGTAAGCTCCGTATTCATTATGTTGGTGAGAAGTTTTTATATTTGATCATAAATGAGTAAAATATTTTATGAAATATTCTACGACGAGGCAGCCTCTAACCGCTTCTAATTGTCTCCTCCTGACCTCTTGTCCACATGGATAACAAAGGGATAACTGATAACCATATACCTTAGACACTTGCCCACGTCACATTCGTCTTCTCTTTCTACCATTAACACCATATAGTGGTTACATGTTGAATGACAATTAGCTAACAACATACTCCTTATTATTCCCTCCCCCTCCCTCTCCCTTAAAAGCATGTTTCGGGACTCTCTGTCATTGGGGTTCAAAGTGCAGTGTCTCGTTCATCCGATATGTTGAGTTTATACTTCTTCGATCCATCATCGACATAATGGCATGTTTAGTTTGCTCGGTACGTCTAGTCCACCTGTTATTGTTGGATTCACATGAAATCGTCTATTGACTCCGTCGACTAGGTCTCGGATTTAAGCAAGATAGAGTGGTAGTATGGTTCGATAAATTTCATAGTTAGGGATCAAAGTGCACTCTCGACCAATTATTCGATGGGTCTAGGGCACTCTTGGGATGTCAAAATCATATCAAGTCGGGGAACCTCGACGTGGTCTGGACCTATGTGCGTAGAGTTATCCAAGGTGCCTCCAAAGTAAAAACAACGAGCTCTTGAGATATCACATGCATTAAGACCAATGTTAGGAGAGGTTTCCCGACCTAGTCTCTTTGACACATAAGTTAATAACTCCAAGTATATGAGTGCAAATACGAGTACTCAAAAAAAGGTAAGTCCATTATTTATTGTGTTGGTGACAATCTTTTATACATAGTCGTAAAGTTGTAGAATATTCTATAAAATATTTTATGGGGAGGCAACCTCTATCAACCTCCAACAGCCTCCCTTTGGTCTTTTGTCCACATGGGTGACACGAGGGGTAAACCATAATTGCCTACCTTAGATCCTTATTGACATAGGCAAACTACTGAATGATAAACTTTGTCTTCTCTTATCACATTGGACACCATGTGACGATTATGTGTCAGATGATGATTGACTGACATTGTACTCTTTATAATTTGAGCCCCCCCCCTAAAGCGTGTTTCGTGGTTCTTGCTAAAGGGGTCTGAAGTATGACATCTGGTATAGTCAGCATGTCAAACTCGTATATCTTTGATCTATTATCGACCTGGTGGCATGTTTAGTTTGTTCAACATGAGTTTGCCTAGTACATCTTATCCATCTGTCATAGTTGGATTCGTAGGGAATCCTCTATCGACTCTGTTGACTAGGCCTCAGATTCAGATAGGATAGAGTGGTGGTGTGGTGTGTTAAATTCCATTATTAAGGACTAAAGTGCCCGCTTGATCGACGGTTTGATGGGTCTCGAGCACTCCTGCAATATCAACACCATGTTGGGTTGAGGAATCCCAACAGGTGCTAGTGTCGACTATGGTGGAATTGGTGATAATGACTAAGTTAGTGGCACCATTTGTCGGGCTAACTAGGCAAAATTAGAGCGACGATCTATATCATGCATGTTAGCATCTTCACTTACCAAGTGAGATTTAAAAACATATCAATAAGAACAAGCAGATGGTTCGAGGTCATCTATGAGGGTGAGAGACTCAGGTTGTTGAATATATACTAGTATTACATCGACATTTTGCTAGTTACGTATGACTTGTAATCCAATTATGTGAGTTATGGCATATGCGATATACTACACAATCTATTGAGTTATTATTATTATGATATTTTTTTTACTTTTTATTATATGATAAATATATATTGTAATGTCATTGAATATGTATAATAGGAATTAGATCATGATGAAATCATAACAATGAGATCAATTTACCTATAAGCATATACCATAAATATTCTCAATCATAGGTTACTTAAGAGGGACATTGAGATAATCGGACAAATCGATGTGCTATGCTCTCATCCATATTATTGAGGCAGTTGGTCTCATAGCTACTTATGTTGGGATACTAATAATATAGTACAAGTGCTCATTGAAGAATGAGTTTACTGAATGATCTACTTATGAAATGCTAGTTGACTAATAATACATTATCGTTAAACGATAATTTCATAGTCCTAGTTGTGTATATGATCCTTAGACTTAAGAAAGTAATGATGCTTTATTTGAGTACTCCACTTTTTAATACCTAACTTATAAGTTTGGAGGTTCCAGATCTAATACAATTGGTCATTGGAAGCGATAACCAACCTCACGAGAGTAATTAGATGTCGATAGAGGATCATACACTCTTAGTATCATGACAAGAATATCCCATGTACTCTCACTCAAGCAAATTCTTTGCCATAATCAATCAGATCATGATGAATCTGATAAGCACAATATTCAGATTGAGGGAAAATGAGTTCACTTAGAGACATTGATTAGAGTGAGACTTTGATATATTTCATATAGACATGATAGTGTCATGCTCGGTATATGATCTCTGGGATATTAGATAGAGGGACTATAGATATATTAACTAACAACAGATAGGTCCAATGAATTAGATCTCGTTATACCGTTTATGGACTATGGTGTAGTAGCATAGTATGTCCATAGTCTATAGGTTGAGTGAATTATTACGGGGATAATAATTCACTAAGTCTGAATGAGTTCTGATAGGTGAAACTTACGACCAGCTCAGTATTGGGCCTAGAGGGTCATGCATATATGGTGGATGACACGACGAATAAAAGATTGGATATGTGATATCCAATAAGTCCCCTATTTTAATAGATTCATCGGGTGAAACCCAATAAGAACTTAAAGCAAATATTTAAATAGATATCCAATGTATAATATGCTATTAGAATTTGATGAAGATCCAATATTCAATAAGGTAGAATCTATTAGGGTTAAGTTTAGAGAGCTCTATATAAATAGAAGAGGGACCAAAGGGTCATAGGCTAGATTTATTTGGCCACTCGCCTCCTATCATCTCCTCCCCTTTTCTTCCCTCGCCACTAGCCCCTACTTGGGCATGAAGATAGTAAGAAGGGCTGGCCCCTTCTTGTTTTGTTATTGTGTGATGGTACGCGAAGGCGAGAAAAGAATGTGCCATAAGAGGAGGTGCATCGTTGCTTCATATATATTGTGTATCACCGCTGGAGAGGAGTTTACGATAGCTCCTTTATCCATGGACTTGGATCTACAAACTAAGGGATATATGATCTTCCATATGTGAGAACGTCTCATATATTTTACGTAGTTTTTGGTTTCATGAGTTTTATACTCTCAATCATTACACGATGATTCAATATAATTATTTTGGGAAACCAATTTTATTTTTATTTTTTCGCTACGCATGTGATACTCTCTCCCTAAAGTGTCCCAATATATTTGTGCTAAGGTGGATGTGCTCATGTGCGGAAAAGGTGACTGTTACCCTCTTAGGTGAAAGTACTATGGGTCGGGGGTAAAATTTCTCTACTCGAGCATTCATTGAGATGGTAAACGAGCGATTGTTCATACAATATCATACCCTCCTTTTAGTACAAAAATGATGAGAGAATAAGTCGTTGATGTCTTGGTCAACTCAGCGTAGTTCGGACTTGTGTTCATAGGATTGTCCAAGGTGCTTCCAAGTTGGAAACGTGAAACTCCCAAGGTGCTTTCTGCACGAAGACCTAACTAGTACCTCAAAGTGTACGAGATGAATACGAGTAATCAAGAAAGGTAAGCCTTTTTGTTCATTATGTTGGTGAAGAGCTTTTATACTTGGTTATAAATGAAATATTTTATAAAATGATAATTTCTAATCACCTCTAATAATTTAATGTGAGTGATAAGGGAGAGAAACTCATAACCCTCTATTTTCTATTTTGAACTCTTGCCCATGTGAGATCTTCTTATTCTCATTTTACCTTAGATATTATATGACGGTTAAGTATCATTTGGCTGATGATGATGTTCTCTGTAACAATATGGATAAAGTTTAACGTACCCAATATAGATTGTATATATAGATGAGTGCGGTTTGAGCCGATCATTAACCCAATCACCAATGGTTTGGGTCGAGTCGAGTAGTAATTCATTTCGGCTGGACTCCAACCCGACTCGGACCGTACCGAACCCGTCCGACTCGTCGCTTATATGATGATGGGTTGGGCTTCATTGATGAGTCACCGACCTCCAAAGACAACCCCAAAACGGAAGCCATCGAAGCTTTCAATGCCTTTATTCCTCGATAAGCTCCCGCAGCCGCTCAATCCTTCCTCCCAATACGAGCCCGAGCCCTAGCCCTAATATTCCGAGAGCAATCCCTCGATTCGTCCAGTTGCGGCTTGATCTCAATCGCGTTGGTTGAATCAAAGCAGAGGGGATCGGAGGAGCGTTTGGACAAACCCTAGGTTGCTGATGTCTTCTTCATCGGGACAGCCGCAGTTCCGGTACACGCAGACGCCGTCGAAGGTGCTGCACCTCCGGAACCTGCCGTGGGAGTGCACGGAGGAGGAGTTAATCGAGCTCTGCAAGCCGTTCGGCAAGATCGTTAACACCAAATGCAATGTCGGTGCCAATCGCAACCAGGCCTTCGTTGAGTTTGTAAGCGTCGGAGCCCAATTTCTTGACGTGTTCATCGGTTTTGGAATTTTATGATGGAAATTTTCTCAAGAACGTCGCGTTTCGAGTCGTTTCCATCTTGTTTCATCATCTTTTTTGGTTTGGGATAGAACAGATGTCTTGGATGTCACACTACATGTAATTCTTCTCGTGTGTTCGATTTTCAATTCGCTATCATCTGCGTGGATTCTTGGTTTTAAATGAGCGATCATTTTTATCTTAGCCCCGGAATATGCTGCTATTTACCTAAGAACTAACAAGATCTGCGTGGATCTTGATCTTAGTCGCGAGACCCTGTTCTCAACGGAGCGTGAAAAGGATTCTTGACTGATAATAATTGAAATTTTTGCAAGAACGTCGAATTCAATATCGGTTTGATCATTTTTTTGGTTGGTTACTTTTTGAAAGGAACAGTTGCTTAATTTTTTTCGTGTGTTTGATGTTTGCTTCATTGTAAGCTTCATCAAACTATTCTTTGACTATCGGAATAAGATTAAATTGGTAGGTCTTTGCTAATCTGCTAACTGCATGCATACGACTCAAGTCAGTGAGCAGACATCTATTTTACAAATGATAAAAAGGTGAAACCTCTTCTTGTTGCTTGATTGATCAGTTGGTTGAGGGCATGCCTTGCTCCTACTCGACTGATTCTTGCACGTGGTTGATGTAAGTTCATTGTAGACTTATTGTGTATGCTTTAAATATAATGATTCTTTGTGGTTCAACCATTTCAATAATTTTGCAGTCAATTTATGAAGGTCTAAAACTGTTTTACCTTTATTTCTCAACTGAGGCTTGTGCTGTCCTGTCTTCTGGTTATGTGTTTAAAGTTTAATGGTGCTGATTAACTTTATTATTGAAGTGAAGCTGCTGATATTTGCTAATCTATAAAATGTAAAATTTGATCATGTTGCTTTGAATTTGTCTTGAAAGCAATATGTGATGGTGAAATGATTCTTCCCTCAATGACAATAGAGAATGCTTGAGAGCAAGTACACATTCAAAAGATGTAATTTGGTCAAAGTTGAATTGCAGAACCATGTTTATTGCACCATTAGCACCTGGAGTGCAATTTCAAATTGAACTATGATCAAGAGCTGCCTTTCTTTTTTCTTTTCATTCTCTATTCTAAATACTCTAACTGGAAGCTTTGAGTAAGAATTTACAAGGGCATGTTTCCTAAAAGAATGCTTGGTGTGATTTGTTATCCCTTCTCAAGATAGTGAATTTCAAATCCTGTGTAGAATATGTATTATTTGCTCCAACATTTTATCGTCTCCTGTGCATGCTTCAGAATTTTTCTTTTTTCGCACATTTTGCATGAGTTCAGTCAAACTAGTGATTTGCTGTCTAACTTTGGAGAATCAATTATCTATGTGATTCATCTGGTTGCCATTTTGGAGCTCTGATTGCTCTGGAGCTTTCTGTTCTAGTTAGTATCTTTCCATAAAGGAAATAAGTTGTAAGCTACATTTTTGTTTTCCTTGGTTTGGTTTTAACATACTATTGGTAGGAAGGTGTGAAATATTCAGTTCTTAGATGACATTTTTGTTGTTCCTTGAGAACTTGTTGCTTTTCTTGCTTAACTTATTTGTTGCTTTATTATAATTAGCTTGCAGACAATTGCATCTGAGTATGGGAAATGTAATGGTCTAACCTTGTTGTCATCCTTTTTTTTTTTCAGGCTGACCTTAATCAGGCCATCTCAATGATTTCATATTATGCCTCTTCATCAGAACCTGCACAAGTTCGTGGCAAAACTGTGTATATCCAATATTCAAACAGGCAAGAAATTGTAAACAATAAGGCCTCTGGAGAGGTTGCTGGGAATGTTTTGCTTGTTACTATAGAGGGTGTCGAAGCTGGTGATGTCAGCATAGATGTTATCCATTTGGTAAGTTCTGTAACTGTCTGAGACTTTTCTATAAATTCCTAATGTTGCATTTAAGATGGAATTCATTCTTGCTTTTTTGGGAATCTGAATGGCCTTGAAGATGAAGAGATACGGGGGACTTTTTGATGTAATAAATGTATGTTGAACTAATTTTGTTTTAATCCTTTGACTTCTAGTAACATACTGAATGGGTTAGCAGGTCCATGTTAACACGGAGTATATCTCGTTATCAGCATCTGCATTCGGAGAGATACCATGTTTGTTTTGCTCTCTCTTTCTTTTGACTATTCTGTTCTGAGTCTCTGAATCTTAGCGTTGAATGATTGTTGATCTTTAACTGCTTTTTTTATCATCATCCTTAAGTTGTAGGTTACTCAGTTTGTATATGAAGCTGTATTTGGAGGTTAAACTTCCATTCTTTAGGATTTTGATTTTTCAAAACTTTAGATATTTCTTTATTAAGTCAAATGTTTCTTTTTTTAATGATGTAGTGTGGTTACTTTTCTGCTTATCAAGGATAGTTATATTTGCCTTTTACATTTGATCTGCTATCTGGAGGCAGTGAATCATGTGGTCATGCATGATGAAGTTCATCATATAAAGTAAAAATTGTTCATATATGTTGCCACTGGAGTTATGATGCCATGCATTGTCTGACAGGTGCCATCCTGCACTTACAAATAATTTCATTGATTTCCATGCAACCTAATGTCATTTGATGTTTGAAATCTTCACAATCTAGTTTGCTAATGTTCTTGTTTTTCTGTCTATCAGGTGTTTTCTGCCTTTGGATTTGTTCACAAAATTGCTACTTTTGAAAAGGCTGCTGGATTTCAGGTCCTTATATTTTTCCAGCTTTTGTCAATTGTGAATTTAGGATTGTAATTCATCTTAGTGTTCTGCACATCTTTTATAGGCTTTGATCCAATACAACGATGCAGCAACTGCTTCAGAAGCTAGAAATTCCTTGGATGGTAGAAGTATCCCGAGGTTTCATTGGTTTCTCACTTGAACTCTTTGGAATAATCAATATATTCTCTTTCTGATGGTTTTTAGGATTTACAGATACTTGCTTCAAGATCATGTTACGTCTTGCCACCTGCGGATTTCTTTTTCTGCACACACGGATTTAAATATCAAGTTTCAGTCTCATCGCAGCAGGTCTCTACTTGCAAGCAACCTTGCTAGACATTATATTATTATTATTATTATTATTATATACTTCTGTTTATCTCGTAATGCATTTTGACCATCTGCGAACCAATTTTGCTGACTCATCAAACTTTTTGGATAAGTGTAACTGGTTGTCTGAGGTTTGAAGCCAGCTCTATATTAAACTGATAAAATTTCTGTATGTGTTCGATGGACTCAAGAACATGTTAGGACCCTGTTATCCTCATATGTCACAATTATGCATTATAGAGAGACTATGATTGCCATACAACAGGATGGTCATCCAACCATATATCAATTGATCTTCCTGTTTCTTTAGTATAGGTCTGATGGGGTGCTCCTGCTAATCTTAAACCTTGTGAAGCCTCCATTTTTAAATAGTCAAATGCTGCAATTATTGTACAGATTAGCGTGTTCATGGTTTACTTTCTAAATTTAGCAGAATACAACGTATTTGAGATTATATCTCGTATGAAGACAAAATGCTTGACTGTTCATCAATTAGTTTATTCACTTGACATGCATTTTAAGAGTGTATGACAAAAATAGGTTATAATGTCAGTAGATATAT